CCTTAAGAGCCAGGATTAGTGTCTCAGGTCACTTGAGGTTTCAGATGTGCTGGCTGATAGCCCTTGATTTGGTACTTGAGACCTGAGTTGTGGGTGACCCAAGTCTAGCCATTGGACAGGGCTTTTTTTTTAAGACTGGATATCACTCTGTTGCCCAGGCTGGAGTGCATATCAGCCTCCCAAGTAGTTGGGACCACAGGTGCCCGCCACCACACCCAGCTATATTTTGTAGAGATGGAGTTTTGCTATGTTTCCCAGACTGGTCTCCAACTCCTGGGCTTAAGTGATCCACCTGTCTTGGGCTCCCAAAGTGCTGGGATTACGAGTGTAAGCCACTGTGCCCAGCCTAGGACTCTTTTTGTAGTTAAACTTTGCCTGTTACCTCAGAAACTGTTCAGCATTTTGGCTCTGCACAGTCAGATACCTTTCGATTATGACTTTACAGTTTCTTGCCAAATGTGACACTTTTTTCTAAGTGTCCCATTTTTATTATCAAGCTGATACAGGTCTGCTTTGAAACTGTTCCTTCTGAGTGGGGCCTAGTCTGGAAGGATTAAATCTAAAGCCTTCAATCTGTTTAGTTCCCTGAAATGACAACTTTATTTTCTTCTCCACCACCAGTAAGACCTCTATTGATCAAAGGAGATGCTCAGGCTTTGTGCCTAGAAGGTTGACCATGTATAGGACCAGGGGTGTCAGAGGACTTATTTGCTTTTGGAGGAAGAAGACAATCTCTATGAGAATGAGCAAGTTGAGGTTGGAGATTCTGCCCTATTCATTTCTGTATGGCCAGGCAGCACCTAGCCCACTGCCTCTGAAACATAGGAAGTGCTTAGGTATGTTTTGGTCAACAGTTGAGAGAATGAATTTGTGAATGAGTGAATGAGCCACGCTGGGACTCATGAGAGAGTGTCCGGGCAGGTTGTGTCGTATTTTTTTCTTCACTTGGCTTTCCCAGTTACCAGATAGAGTGGGTACTTGGTCCCTGCTATCAGCTGGCGGATTGAAGATCCTGATGTGGATTGATTATGATTTACTTTGACCTTGGGCTTATTAACATTTACTTCATAATGGATTGTAAATATCAACAAAAAAGGCTTTTTCTTCTTTGAAAAGCGGATTTTTCTTTTTTTTTGAGTTGAAGTCTCGCTCTTGTCCCCCAGGCTGGAGTGCAATGTCGCGATCTTGGCTCACTGCAGCCTCTGCCTCCTGGGCTCAAGCGATTCTCCTGCCTCAGCCTCCCGAGTAGCTGGGATTACAGGCACCCGCCACCATGCCTGGCTAATTTTTGTATTTTTAGAAGAGACGGGGTTTCACCATGTTGGCCAGGCCGGTCTCAAACTCCTGACCTCAGGTGATCCGCCCGCCATGGCTTCCCAAAGTGCTGGGATTACAGGCATGAGCCACCGTGCCCGACCTGAAAGGTGGATTTCTAAAAGCTTTCCTTCTGATGACTATGTGCTTCTCTGGGGAGAGTGGGGACTTTTAAACATTTTATAACCTCTTTAATATAAATAGGCACCCCAGTGTGATGAGGGGAAATGTCTGGAGTGGGTGGTGTTAAATACACCTCCTACCCCTGTCTTTAGCATCCCCGCAGATTTAGTTCTTTTTGTCACATGGAGTGTTGGATTCCTATGTTCTAACTGAAGGCAGGAATCAGGGCTTTTCCTGTTGGGAGTGTTAGTGATGAGGGTGAATGGGGGGGTTTCAGGACAGCCAATGCTGCCTCTGCTTGGGCCCTGCTCTTTGAAAATGGCTTTTGTCTCAGTTTACAGTCTTTGATTCTGTGAACTGCCTACCTTTCCCCACTCCTGAGTGTCCCATACAGCCTAGGATGGAGATGGACTTCTGAGGCTAGTTCTATCCTGTCTCACTGAGCAGTCAGTTTGCTCATGATTCCATGAGAGGGCAGTAGGATGGCAAGAATGCATCTCTTCTTGTCTCCTCCCTGCTCTCCTGCTTTCCAACTTAAACGCACTTCAAGTCTATTACAGACTGAAGAGAGAGAGGTTCATGGAACCGACACTGAACAGGGCGAGCAAAAGCCAGGAGGCTGAAGGGTAGTGGAGCAGACTTTATGTGGCCATGTGGTGCTGGTGAAAAGCCCATCAGTGGATCAAAGTAGCAGGAGGGAGCCTGGGCTTAGAAATAACAGGATGATGTCAGTGCGATTGGAAAGTGCTAACAACACCAGGGAGCTGTGCAAAGAATTGAGACCAACTGGGCAGGAATGAAATCTGAAAAATAAATTGGACTAATGATCAGCTTGGTGGGGGTCTCTGCAGAACAGGGTCAATGCACAGACATGGGTTCAGTTCCTTGGCCTTCATGCCCTGTCCCCTGTGCTGTGCGGATTATAGGGGTCCTTGTCTTTGTGCTCTGGGCAGAAGAACCTCAGGGCTTTTGGGGGGTATGTTAAATATTCATGAAATGATTCTTATAAGCTCTTTCCTGCTCTCTCCTCCTGCAGATGGGAAAGTCTTTTTTGAAAAAGCAGCAGAAATGTGCCTTGAAATACTCAAGGACCTGGAGCTGTGAAAGGAGGAGACAGAAGGAGTGTGAGCAGGGATGAGCTGAGGGCAAAGTTGTGCTGAGACTGAGGTCCCACGTTTTCCTGCACTTCCCACAGAACCAGGGCGGGAGACTGGACTTCGGTGCCCAGAGTGTATACCTGGTTGGAGCTTCAGGCCTTGGGCCGGGAGACGAGGGGCAGGGGCCAGGTGAAGGGAGATGCTCATGGAGTTGGATAGCTTCTCCAGACACTCAGCTCATGTACATCCATTTGTGGATAATCTACATCAAATGCTTCACCTCCCTCTGCTTTCCCCACCCTCGAGGTGCTGTCCTGTGGTTGCAGTTAGTCAACATGGTGCAGAGAATGCAAGGTTGTTTATTTTAATATTACCCGTGTTTTACTGTTTTAGGTAAGGCAGACTAGAGTGAGCCCCATCATGTGAAAATTTTCTTTTGAAGAATTTAAGCGTACAGATTGAGCTGGGCCTAAGATTATTGCAATCTGGCTATATTCTCTCATGTGTAAGAATGGGACTCTCTGTTTTTAATTTTTATATTAAGTTCATGGGTGCACAGGCAGGTCTGCTGTCTACGTAAACTTGTGTCATGGGGGTGTGTTGTGCAGATTATTTCATCCCCCAGGCATTAAGCCTAGTACCTGTTAGTTATTTTTCCTGATCCTCTCAAGGATGGGAATCTCTACCTGTGTCTTGTATTCTCTGATTTTTGATAGGTTACTTGTTTTTCCGTCATCTTGAATGGTTAATTAATAGCTAACATTTGCTTAGCTATTTTTCATTTAATTAGCACTGTAATAAATATAGTCGAATCCCTGTATAACCATGTAAAGTAATTACATCTCCTTTTTGCAGGCTAGGAAGGGAAACCTCAACTGCTATCTTTGCATGACACGCTTATTCATATTTAACAATTTGGTCAACAAACCTTTGCTAAGCACTTATTATGTGCTAGAAACTAAGTACTGAGGACAATAGGGAGCTAATTTGGTGAGGGAAACAGATAAGGAAATCAGCAAATACAATAGCTATTAAAGTAGATGATGGGGAAGGCTCATCTCAGGTCAGCTGACCTAGGGATCAAGGCAGGCATCCTGGAAGAGGTGATGTGGTGGGGACCAGTGGGGGGTGTGTCAGGGTAGTGTGTGTGTATGTGTGTTTTAGGAATTGCATGGCAAATTACTAAATTATTGTGATGTTTATCCACAGGTGGGAGGAGAGAGTGTCTGAGGGTTTGGCTGGAGGTAAGCCGTGAGAGGCAGGCAGGAGCTGGGCCTTAAGGGCTGTGGGCGAAGTAGGAGTTTAAATTTTATCCTGAAGGCCATAGGGACTATTTATGGTCTGATACCTCCTTTGCCCTCGCATCCAAGGTGTATTGGTAGGCAGCCCTCTTAGGACCAGGTTTCACTCCCAACTTCAAGCCGGTGGGAGCCTTTCTTTAATCTTGGGATGAGCCTGGCCAGGGTGGATTGGCCCTGCTTGCCGAGTAAGGGGGTGTGGTTGTCCCAACACCCTTTGCCCACCCCAGGCAACTCCCACCTCCTTCTTGGAGGCCTTAGAACCCCACAGACTGGATATGAGCTTCTGCTGAGTATGGGCCTTTGGTGGTATAGAGATGAGAAGGCCATTAGGCTCAGCCTGAAGCTGCTTCACTTGAAGAGGAGAAGTGTGTCTCCCTTCTCTTAGCCCAGTGGTCCTGGCAGATTTATTCCATACTGGAGGTTAGGGATGCTGGGAGGGGCAGCACTGGCGGGTACCCACATGCATGCTGCCAAGGCGTGAGCTTCCTTTGTACCTTCTCTACTTCCCCTTCCGCTCTTCTTTCTGGGACAGGGTTGGGCCTAATGACAGTATCACCACTGTGTCTAGTGGCCTCTTTGCTTTGGGCAGTCAAGGCTCATAACCAAAGCCATTGGGAACATTTCACTTTTCTCAATATTAGCTCAATTCCTTGAGGGCAGGATCCATAGTTTGGCCATATTTGGATTCCCAAGGCAGTGTTTGACACATAGAATGTGCTCAGTGAATGAATGTGTAAGTCTCATTACATAACGTAAGTTAACATTCGTGGGACACTGACAGTGTGCCAGTCACAATTCTGAGTTTCTTAACTCACTTGATGAGTGCTGACTCATTTACTCTTCCCAGCGGTGCTTCCTATGAGGTAAGCACTGCTCCATCCTGGTATTTTAGCAAAAGAAACTGAGGCACATAGAAGTAAATAATTTGCCTAAGGTCACACATCTGTAAGTGTGGAGCCAAAATTTGAGCCTGGGCAGCCTCTGTCTCCAAAGCTGAGCTCTGAAGGACTCTGCTTTACTGACGTGTGTAATCATCCCTAGGAAGCCTGGGTTAGCTTGTCAGTGGGCTGTCAGGCTTGCAGGGAGAGGGTCATTTCTTTGGGCACAGCAGACACTTGAACAGAGCATCAATAAATGCCGTGCTTAGGGCTTCTTCTTGGACCTCTCCGCTCTCTAGTCATCATGGTCCTTGAGTCTTCAGAATAGGGAATCAGGAAGTCTTAAAAATCCCTCCTCGGAAGTTATTCAGTCTGGCAGCCCAAGTGTTAGCACAGATGTTTTCCAGGAGGAAGACTTCTCAGCCCAAACCCAGCAGAGATCACTGGCTGTATTTCCAAGGGAGGGTTTTCTTTTTCTCTTTTGACCGACTCTAAGGAATTTAGTGGAAGCAGCCTTGGGTTTTTACTAGTTTTTAAAGTGAGGTTTGTATGTGAGGAGCAGGGCGTGGCCACTGTACAGATGCACTGCTCAGATCTGCTTTCGAGAGACCCTGCCAAAGGGAGCTTAGCAGATTGACAGCCTCCAGCACTGCCCTTTCTATCCACCCTGCTTCATGGAAGTGTTTCTTGCTGGTGATGAGCCACAACAGGGGTCTGAAAGCAGAGCCATTTCTACAGATACGGGACTGTTCTTATGGCAGCCTACTAGGCGACTCTGCTGGGCTGACCAAGACTTTCCCAGAACTGGAGAAAGTCTGGAGCTCTGCTCACTTCCTTTATCCTTTGTAGACATCTCCCTTAAATCTCTTGCACATCTAACCCTAACTTGGCATCTGCTTCTCAGAGGACCCCAGTCGGCAGTGCTCGGTGAGGATGCTGTCTCCGAGGCTGCTGCTTATCAGCATGTACCCGGGAGGCTTTAGGCACGAAGAGCACTCTCCTGATAATTTTTCCCCTGCTGCCTATTAAACATGAAAAATAGAAATTTGAGACTTTGCTGCCTTTCTCTCACATGATGATCCATCATCATCTTAAATAAATATTGGCTTTTGAGTCTGCAGTCTTATGATGTGGCTAACGGGGCTGGAGCAAGACAGATTTATTACTTGAGGATATGATAGGTGGTGACAGAGTTGTATCATCCAGTGTAGTGACTTCCAGGCCCACCAGTGGATGGGGATCAGCTTGGGTATATCCAAATTACCATAGAAATTCCGATTCTGTAGATCTGGGGTTGAGTCAGGAATCTGTGTTTTAAAAACCTGGGTGGGCTGGGTGCGGTGGCTCACGCCTATAATCCCAGCACTTTGGGAGGCTGAGGTGTGTGGATTGCTTGAGGCCAGGAGTTTGAGACCAGCGTGGCCAACATGGCAAAACACCGTCTCTACTAAAAATATAAAAAAATAGCCAGGTGTGATGGCACACACCTGTAGTCCCAGCTACTCGGGAGGCTGAGGGACGAGAATTGCTTGAACCCAGGAGGCAGAGGTTGCAGTTAGCCAAGATCGCACCACTGCACCTCAGCCTGGGTGACAGAGTGAGACTTCATCTCAAAAAAATTAAAAAAAAAAATGTAAGAACTGCGTGATTGATAACCACTGGGGCAGAACTCAGGCACTGGCCTGTGGGAGTCAGGGAATAGCATTTCCATCTTGCAGCATGTCTCAGCTCCTTTTGCACATTCCTTATGTCTTCCTTTTTAACATGGTCTGTTGCTCCCTAGGAGTCTCTAAGAACAAGCCAGCCAGAGGAGAAGGATGTTTCTCTGGATTCAGCTGCTGCCAGTCCCCCTACTCCCTGCAAGCCGTCCAGCCCAGGTGCAGACAGCAGTCTGAGCAGTGCTGATGGCAAAGGGCGACAGGGAAGTGGGGCAAGACCTGGGCTCCCAGAAAAAGAGGAAAATGAGAAGAGTGAACCTAAGATTTCCAGGAATCTGGTGACCTCCAAGGCAGACCCTAGGGGCAATGACCATGCCGAAGCCTCTGAAAAGGAGGCACCAGAGGACACAGTAGATGCAGGAGAGGAGGGTTCCAGGAGGGAAGAGGCAGCCAAGGAGCCAAAGAAGAAGGCTTCTGCTCTAGAAGAGGGCAGTTCAGACGCCAGCCAAGTAAGTCACTGTATCCCATAGGCAGGGGTCGACTGTAGCCCTCTGCTACTCTGTTCAGCCCTGGGCAGGATCCTATCCCCACATCTTTATTACTGAGTCAGGAGCTTCATTTGCGTGTCCCTGCACTGGGCTGTCAGCATCAGCCAGAGCCCTTAATTGTGACAAATATGCCCAGGCCCAGCAGGCAGTAAAATCCGGAATGAAGCTGCAAACCTGCTGGCACTCGAAATTGAGAGCAGAAATTTGCTTTTCCATTGGCACCCTCCTGGAATGTTCATTTTCTTTTATCCTACTTCCTTTCCTGCTTCCTACCTCCCTCCTTACTTTTTTTTTTCTTCTGTCTTTTTTGAGACAGGGTCTTGTTCTGTAGCCCAGGCTGGAGTGCAGTGGCGTGATCTTGGCTCACTGCAGCCTTGACCTCCAGGGCTCAAGCAATCCTCCCACCTCATCACAGTTCAGAGTGCTTTTTGGCAGGGCATTACCTCAGCCTCTTGAGTAGCTGAGACCACAGGCATGTGTCACCATGCCCAGCTAATTTTGGTATTTTTTGTAGAGACAGGATTTCGCCATGTTGCCCAGGCTGGTCTCTAACTGCTGAGCTCAAGTGATCTGCCCGCCTCATCATAGTTCAAGGTTTTTTTTTTTTTTTTCTTTTGATATAGAGTCTCGCTCCTTCACCCTAGCTAGAGTGCAGTGGTGCAATCTTGGCTCACTGCAACCTCTGCCTCCCAGGTTCAAGCGATTCTTGTGCCTCAGTCTCCCGAGTAGCTGAGACCACTGGCATGCACCACCACACCCGGCTAATTTTTGTATTTTTTAGTAGAGATGGGGTTTCACCATGTTGTCCAGGCTGATCTTGAACTCCTGAGCTCAACCTCGATCCACCCGCTGGGATTACTGGCGTGAACCAGAGTCTGGCTCCCCTTGTACTTCTTTTTTTTGAGACGGAGTTTCACTGTTGTTGTCCAGGCTGGAGTGCAATGGCATGATTAGCTCACCGCAGCATCTGTCTCCTGGGTTCAAGCTATTCTCCTGCCTCAGCCTCCTGAGTAGCTGGGATTACAGGTGACTGCCAACATACCTGGCTAATTTTTTGTGTTTTTAGTAGAGACAGGGTTTCTCCATGTTGGTCAGGCTGGTCTCGAACTCCTGACCTCAGGTGATCCACCCGCCTCGGCCTCCTAAAGTGCTGGAATTACAGGAGTGAGCCACTGCGCCCGGCCTCGCCTTGTACTTCTTGACATCAGTTTGGGGGCAGTCATGGTTGCAGCAGTCTGAGTTTCTAGAGAGAGAGAACACTGTGTGTTGTGGCGAGGTGGAGGGTGGGGGTGAGCGGGGCGGTAGGTGCCACATTTGGCAGTGTTCTGCCCCAGCGTAGGTAGATTAGGTGACAAGAAGACTCTTCTCATCCATTTGTGTGGCTCTTTCTGAAAGATGCCAACACATGGGAGTGGTTGCTTTGGCAAGACCAGGCCAATGACCAAAATGGACAGAAGTAAGCTTGAATGGGGAGATCCTTTGGCATTTTAGGTTTTTCAACCCTTAGTCCTGTTCCTCTTCCAGGTAGATGGTGAGGGAATTCATTTAAAGAGCTTTTATCGGCCAGGTGCAGTGGCTCATGCCTGTAATCCCACCACTTTGGAAGGCTGAGGCGGGCAGATCACTTGAGGTCAGGAGTTGGAGATCACTGGCCAACATGGTGAAACCTCGTCTTTACTAAAAATAAATTATCCAGGCGTGGTGATGCGCACCTGTAATCCCAGCTACTTGGGAGGCTGAGGCAGGAGATTGCTGGAACCCAGGACGTAGAGGCTGCAGTAAGCTGAGATGGTGCCACTCCAGCCTGGGGTATAGAGTGAGACTCCGTCTCGGGGGAAAAAAAAAAAAGAACTTTTATCTATTTCCTAGGAAAGATGCTCTCCTTCTGTTTTTTAGGATAGCATCAGACTTCTGTACTGCCACCTTTCTAACCATCTCCACTACTCTTGGTTCCCCTTACTCGTATAAGTCCTTGCTGATCTAATTCAGAGTGTGGTTGTCTCTACTCAGTGGGCTGCCCAACCCCAGTGGGGCGGAGGCTGTGCACATGTCCAGAGAGAATGGCGGGGTCCACAGGCCTCCTTTAGGTTTTCAAGAAGGATGGATTTCAGTTTGGCCTGTGCCCTATATTGGTACCACAGCCTGAACAGAATTCCCTGGGTAGGGACCATGTCCCTTTGTGCTCTGCTCTGAGGGATTTCTCTGTGTCTCTCTCTCTCCAGGAACTGGAAATTAGTGAACACATGAAGGAACTTCAGCTCTCAGACTCCATAACTTCTGACCCCAAGTCCTTCCATGGCCTGGTGAGTTCGAGATGAGGGCAGTAGAGTGGTGGCGAAGAGCATGGATTTGTGAGTCTCTAGGGTTAAGTAATTTGCCCAGCATCACACAGCTTGTAAGTGGGAGAATTTCAAACTCATGCTTGAGTCTTGTCTAGCTCCAGCTTCTCAACCCATTAACTAAGGGTAATACTTCCTATTTTATAGGTTTGTTGTGAGAAGAAAGGCAGAGAATATAAAATGTTAGCATATAAACATGATTAATGTAGTTATATATAAAATAATGTTAAAATGTTAGCTATTATTACTCTCACTGTTGTGTGAGTTGCCTGTGTGATCATGTGAGTTGCCATCAGCCTAGGAGGTTAGAGACTGGTGTGTTTGTGTTTATGGGATCACTGAGCTGTGGTGAGGACAGTCCTAGGCTCAGGCCAGGAGGGATGCCGTGGCTTCATTTCTAAAGTTAAGGCTTTGTCTTGGAATGCCAGCATCCATGGTTTCTTTGTCCCAGACCTTCTACCCAGCCTGCTGTATCATCGTTTCATTTGCCAGGTCTGTACCTAAGGGGAATAGTTCAGGGTGCTTTTTGGCAGAGCATTACCTCTAGAAGCCATCCTCCATCTGTTTGGAGGAGGCAGATCAAAGGGAAGGGATTAGTGGGAGAGGGTCAGGGATGAACAGTAATGATATGGGGGGGTGCAGAAGAATTAGGAGGCTGTGTGTGCTCGCCCCTCACTGAGCCGTGGGCTTAGGAGGCAGATGGCAGCTGCATTAAGTGAAGTAGAACTCAAACTGAAAGGAAAATGTCACCAAAAAAGAAGAAAAACCCACAAGCTAGAAAGGGAAGGTAAAAAGTCATTGTTGGCAAAAACTGTCCGTGAAGAATCGCCATGTCACAGATCTCTCGGAAGCAAGGGGGCTGGCTCTTCTAAAGCAGTCACCCATGTGGAGAAATGTGCCCATCAGCATTTTTCTTCTCTATGGAAGTAGATGGAGGAGGCTGTGGACAGCAGGACCAGATTTTGTCTGGGCGTCCCACCATTAATCAGGGCTGATGTGACAGAACGGTCCCCATTAACATGCTATTGGGCAGCAGTCCTTCACTTAGCCCAGCAGGGATCTTCGGCTCAGAGGAGGTGGGATCATGGGCCTGTGGCAGCCAGAGGACAGCAACAAACTGGCACCAGTGTGGGCACTTGCTGCCTGTCCCAAAGAGAAGCCAATGCAGGAAGCACCACTAATTAACTCTCATTGTCCAGGTGGGCACCTGTATGGAAAAGGGATGGAACGAGCTGGAAAGGGCCCACCAAGGCTAGTTTCAAAACTGCCCACAGGTTTTCTGGGGATGTTGGCATTTCTTCTTGTGCCTGGTTGGGCACCACGGAGAGGGAGAGATAGCCGGAAAGTGACATCCTTCACAGCATGTGTCATGGAAAGAGCTTGGGCTTTGCCGTCAGTGCAGGGCCCCATCTGACCCTCAGGTCCCTTACTTATCAGCTGTGTGGCCTTGGGCGAGTTATATGTGCTCTCCAACCTGCTTCCTTATCTATGAGATGAGGGAAAGAGTTTTAGTCTCACAGGGTTATTTTTTCCCCATAATTTTATTATGAAAAGTTTCAGACATATGGAATAATTTTAAAAATTGTTCAGTGAATACCCACATACTTACCATCTATAGGCCACAGTTAACATTTTACCATACTTGCTTAATCACATATCTTTCCATCGAGTCGCAGTGTTATTTTGAAGATGAAATTAGTGATGTTGAAATGTTTGGCACAGAGCTGGGCACATAGCAGATATCTTTCTGGAAAGTGGAGTTGGGGTAGTGAAGAGGCCTGGTGGGTGTTGACTGTGACAGAGGCAGAGCTGACCTTTGCATCTCCACTCTCTCCAGGACTTCGGTTTTCACAGCCGGATCTCGGAGCACCTGCTGGATATTGATGTGCTTTCCCCGGCCCTGGATGGAACTCGTTGGCAGGTGAGTCTCTCTGGGTGGTGGGCTGAGCTGGGGCCTCATTTTTCCTCACAACCGCTTTTTCGGATGACCCAGAACTGAGCCCTGCCCATCACAGGCTGCATTTCTGGAAGTTCTCTCCCTTCTAATTCATTAAGGCATGGTCCTGACTGCCTTTCATGGGGCTTCTGACCATTCCTGCATTGTTGCTATAAATTAAAGCTCTTTTCCATCATATATTTATCCATTTATCCACTCATTCAGCAGCTGAAGAGTGGACTGTCTGCTCATGTGCAAAGTGCTGTGTAGACTGTAGATTTCAAGGCACTTCCCATCCTGGCCCATTCATCCTCTTTACATGCCCAGCCCACCGCTGCTCACCAGCTGGGTCTGCTGCTCACCATCCCGGGGCACACTCTCCACCTCCACCACCCCTCTGCCTGCCACTCTGCTTTCCCGTTTTTCCCAGCAAGCTCTTTTTTGGTCCTGGAGGTTCACCTCTGACACCACCTCCTCGAATGGGATGAATTGTTCCCTCTCTTTGCTCCGCTTAGTCCTTCTTGTTTTGTTTGATGGTTGTTTGTCTGTCTCCCCTGCCAGATGTAAGCTCTGTGTGGGCATGGATGGTGACTGACCCACATGGGGTACAAAGATGACTCAAACACAGATCCTGTCCTTAAGGAGCTTCAAGCCAAGAAGACTTTTCTTTTTCTTTGTGGATTGGTTAGAAGAGCAGTTCTGGCACATGATCTCTGCAAGTTTAAGGGAACATTTGGTTTGGGCAAAATGGAAATTTGTTGGGTGAAACAAACAAGATGTTTAATATGAACCCAGCCTTGGAGCCTTTAGTGAAATGTGTGCTAGAGGCAGGCTAGAGTTTTCGGGCCAGTTGCGTTTGAGCCCCACATGTTCCTCTCAGCTCTGGCTGATAAAACCTTTCTGGGCCACTGTCCAGCCACCAGGTCCTTGCTGGATCTTGGTCATGCTGTTTGCAGTGCTAGAGAGATGTGAAGGCACAGGCAGAGGAAGGTGGGATTAGTCAGGAAAGGTTTGGAGGGGGCGAATTGTGGAGCTCCTTTGGCAGTAGGTGAGTGCGAAGGTTACCGAGTCAGTGGGGTGGAGGTAGATCCCATTGCTTGGGGTCCAACACCTGGCCAGTATCAGAATTACTTGGGAGCTTGAGAAAAAGACAGATTTCTGGGTCTACCTAAGACCTGATGTGGCCAGCAGCCTCTTTTTGGGCTGTGCCACTTGCTGTAACGCAGTAGCAGGACCTGACGTGGTTTTGGTTCTCACGAGGTACAGCCTCTTCAGGTGGCCATCCCTGGCAGAGGAATCCCTAAGTCAGCGGTCCCCAACCTTTTTGGCATCAGGGACCAGTTTCTTGGAAGACAATTTTTCCACAGATGGGGTCAGGGGCATTAGATTCTCATGAGGAGTGCGCAACCTAGATCCCTGGCATGTACAGATCACGATAGGCTCATGCTCCTGTCAGAACCCAGTGCCACTGCTGATCTGACAGGAGGGGGAGCTCAGGTGGTAATGTTTCCTTGCCTGCCCACTGTTCACCCCCTGCTCTGCAGCCCAGGGGTTGGGGACCTTTCCCCTAAGCTATACCTTGTGACCTGCCTGTCGTGATGTGGGTAATGGTGCTCAGCGTGGCTGACTGAGTAGCCAAGCCTTTGCAGGCTCAGCCTCCAGCTGTCCACCATCTCTGGGGGTGGAGGGGTCGAGTTGGGGAGGGGGAGCTGGAGGAGAGAGCAGCATGGAACAAAATGGTAGATGCCATTCTCTGTCCTTCCTGTGCGTTCTTGCCCATTTTGCCATATTCTCCACTCTTCTCTCAAGGGCAGGACCAGGGCAGAGGGCTGAGCTATACTAGTTTTTGTTCATTTAAAATATTTTCAATGCAATTTAATTGAGATATAATTGACATACAATAAACTGCACATTTATTTGATACGTTTTACCATATTGTATACCTTCACAACCATCACCACAAAAAACGATTATAATGAATTAGACATAATACATTTCTTTTTTTTTTTTTGAGATGGAGTTTCCCTCTATCACCTAGGCTGGAGTGCAGTGGTACAATTTTGGCTCACTGCAGCCTCTGCCTCCTGAGTTCAAGTGATTCTCCTGTCTCAGTTTCCCCGAGTAGCTGGTACTATAGGTGCGCACCACCATGCCCAGCTAATTTTTCTTTTTTTTTGTATTTTTAGTAGAGATGAGGTTTCACTGTGTTGGCCAGGCTGGTCTCAAACTCTTGACCTCAGGTGATCCGCCCGCCTTGGCCTCCCAAAGTGCTGGGATTACAGGCGTGAGCCACCGTGCCCTGCTGACATAATACATTTCATAATTAATTAGAAAAGTGATTATAAAATTATTTCAAATAATACGGAAGATCCAAGTTCTCAACTTCCTGTAGCCTTACACAGACAGGGACTATGGATAGTTTCTATTCACATTTTTCATGTGCCTTTCCAGAAAATTTTCTGTGTACATATAAGCATATATTTATTTTCTACTTGCTTATCTTTTTTCTTCCCATAAAAATTGTGATCGTGCTACCTAAACTGCTTGGCGATGTGCTCTTTAAATTTGAGAATAGGCCCTTGACTTATTTCTTTTTTTCTTTTTCTTTTTTTTTTTTGAGACGGAGTCTTAACTCTGTCACCCAGGCTGGAGTGCAGTGGCGTGATCTCGGCTCACTGCAAGCTCTGCCTCCCAGGTTCACGCCATTCTCCTG